AAGGGGGGGGGGGGGTGATCGTCGAAGTCGGTTTCAGGCCACGCGGGCACAGTAGCCCCCCGCATGACCTCCATGCGATGCTGTTACCGGAAAACGTCGTTACCCAACGCACTCTCCTGCTCTCCTGTTGCCGTGGTAACCGACCGGTTGCCAACAACAAATGGAGCGTGTAAACGCAGACACGCGACTTGCTGCTCATTTGTTGATACACTCACTGACACGCTGAGATGCGTCAGGACTAAGAGATCAACCTGTTCGTCCGCGTCTCGTTTCTCGACCAGATTAAATGAAACGAAGTTACGGGGGAACGGAAAACAAGCTTCAGCATTTGAGGAAATAGCGAAAGGACTCGTCACTGAAATGCGTGCTTGTTTAGGCTCATAACAAAGTGCATCGGTGTTAACGAATGTGTGTGACGATAAAAGAGAACAGTCATTAAACTTACAACCACGGAGAGAGAAGACGATGTTCAGATTTCGTTTCCCTCGATTTTATGAGGACGTGAAACTTGGGTTATTAAGCACAAAATCCGAAGCAGAATTTCAAGCAAAATAAATCAAAATTTGAAGACATGTTAAGGAATGTACAAGATTAGACAAAATTATAAATAAATTAATATATATATATGGATGAATACATGAATGGTTAACCATATGACCACAAAGGACAACGACACTTCGATGCGAATTACACGTACGCAGGGGCTCCATGGAAAAGGGCACAGACTTGAAACCACTCAGTCCTTGGTTCTTCACGTTTTACCTTCTTTATCTTCTTATCCTGTCCTATCCTTCATCTTTAAATATTAGATATTTAGTTTGCATTCCAATCATTACGGAATAGCACGCAGGTTTATCATATCTCAACGCTTTGTGAGTGTGTCCTGACAATTGTTCTTCAAACTGGCCGATTTTCACAAAATGTCGTACTTTACATGTTCCTATACTCCGTAATAACAAGAAGGTGGACCCATTCGGTGTTCTCATGTACGCAATCTGAAGCAACACTTTGCTACGGCAGAACGGGAAGGAATCACAGTCCATGGAATTTGTGGCATTTATCAGTGCTGCCAACTGTTGAACTTCGCGTGCTGATGCGCTGACAGCGCCCCATTTAGACTGTTTTAGGTTAAATGAGGGTTAGGTTACATGAAAATAAAATAAAATCTGGGAGAAATAGCACAACCACCATCGCAAATTCGCAGTTCCCGATGACAAGAACCGAGAAGAATCATTTGATGACACCTTCATGAAGTCAAAGCATTGCAGACAATGCGCCTCATCTAGTAGACGGAGAAGTTGCCGCTCCAACACGGCAAGTACTGGCCTGTGTAGAATCTCCCACTGACAGACGAAGGCTGACATCAGGAACAATCTTCAGGAGTTGGTTGTGAGGCGGATGGAATTGGCTCGGTAACTCTTTACTATGTCCACATAGTGTGTTTATGTGTCATGTATGGTTCTAATTGTAAACAGCGATTATTTCCTTAAACAGCGTTAACCAGTTGATCTTTGTAACGGTGAGGCGTTGTGTTTTCTTCGCGGTACGGACTCAATTTTTAAATGCTATTTAGACGAGCTTCGGCTTCGAAGGGTTAATTAATTATCAGAATAAACAGCGATTATTTCCTTAAACAGCGTTAACCAGTTGATCTTTGTAACGGTGAGGCGTTGTGTTTTCTTCGCGGTACGAACTGAATTATTAAATACTGCCGAGACGATCCTTGGCTTCATATTACAGACCTCGAGCACATGTCGGTCGCTCAGCACGAGAGCCATGATTCACTGCGGCTCGCTCTGCTGCCATATTATTCTAATCAGCTAATGAAAGTTACAGATATCAGGCACAACGTTCGGCAGGAACATGACGTGTCCAGCATCGTGTGACCTCTATCCCTTCGCGAGTGATACGTCACGCACTTTGTGATTATGCACGGGACCCTCTGGCTGTTACGAAGCCCATGACAAATTTAAAAATTACTTTACTTTTAATTATTTTAACGACACTCAAGTCTGTGGAAAGACAGGCAAACCTCTCATTTCTTTTCTATAACCTACAGAGGTTAAAATTTGACTCAACTGCAGTGGTTATACGCGCTGCCAACATATTAAACTACGCACAACCATAACTTAAGGCACTGGAGGCAGAAAGGCATACTGCAAGGGTGGCTGCCCTGCTTCAGCGGGCGGCTTAATCCCACTGCCACCTGCCTCGTCTTAAATTACCTCCCCAGCAATAAATCCCT